AGCAATACTTCAGGTGAGGTTTCTTATAGAATAGAAGCTTTACCTTCCATGTGTCAGATACAATGTTTGCTCTGAGAAATATTCTTGACTTCTTTTGCGAGTGTCCCATGTATGATTGATTTCTTTTGCATGTGGTCCAGCATAACAGACTGAATAATTATTATTCCCAACTTCCATTTATAGGCTTGTTGATTCCCTCCAGAATGATACTTGGAACTTTTCTTCACTGAATTTCATCTAAGCGATCTTCATAAGTTCCACTCATTTATTAGGTTTGTGAATAGTGACATCTTTTCCAAATACATAAATTTTATGAATGCTTTTGTATTTCGTCATCTAAGTAGCCAATCAGGGTTTTGAAATTATTATGTATCGGACAGAACCTTGAGTCATCTCATTTGATGTGCTGTCTGGGCTTGACAGCAAACCACTGATAACTGTTATTGAAATTTACTTTTCTGTTTGTCTATTCATCTTTTGATGACTTCATCTTGCTCACAATTATGAATCTTCAGTTATGAGAATATTGCATGTTGTGAAGCTTTTGTACATCAGCAAAGGTTTCCTTAGAAATACTTTAGTTGGATGGAGCTTTACATTTCCAGGCAGCTTCTCAGCATCAACAGTTGTTTGCAAAAGTAACTATTATTTAAGAACCTCAATAACTGCATGTAATTTAAAAAATTTTAAAATTTTAATAATAAAGTACCACAATAATAATCAAGCAGAAAGCTTAAAATATTTCTAAGACTACTGCTATAAGTAAACTGTGATCATTAATCATTTAAATTTCTTTTTCATTAGTATAACTTTTATTTATGAACATTTGCTAATTTGTTTATGATTGTGTGCATGCTTCCACCTGTATTTATCTGCAAAGGAACTGGGAAATATGTTATTGAAAATAAATCTTTTTAGAAGGATGCAAGATGGGGAATGCTGCATAGAGAGAAAAAACAGGAGTAACTATAAGATCAACACCATTTTTTAAAATCTGTTGTCATTTTAAGGAGTAAGTTTTAGTTAACGTGCTGTGTTATAATTGTGGGTACTCAGCTACACGCTAGACAATCAAGACAGTATAAAAGACCAAAGTTTTCCTTGGGGAAATAACTAGTTCATTTGACTGTCATTCAGGTTTTTGGAATGAAACAGTTTGTGTCATATATAATCTGTTGCTAAAGAAAGGTGAAATAAAGGTATCTACTGTGAAAAATTAGATTTGGGGTTTTATTTTTTTTTAAACAGCACCTGGTGGTTGTGTGCTCCTTGGCTCCAAGGCGGCCGTTGAAACTCATTTGGTTGTGCAAATGAAAATGTCTTGAGCTGCCAAATGTGAACAGTTGCACTGGAAACTGGAAGTCAACTGTTTCCGTCCTGGCTGGTGCGTGTGTTGTTAATAACAGAGATTTGGCTGTTGGAAGTGAGGCCTGAGTCAACAAAGGCGTCTAAGAGCCTGACTCCTATGGAATAGTAGTTTTGTAACCACAGTGAGATTTCAGCAAAATGTTTGGAGGTTTGGTGAAGTACATAGATCCTACAAGGTCAAACTGAAGTTTAGTAGTCTGGACTTCTGTTTATCTGTGCTTTTTTTTTCCCATGAATTTTAAATTCTAGTTCTTGTGCTTTTGCTTTTATCAGGTACTCTGAGCTAAGAATGGAAGGGTATATTGGCACCCCCTGTTCCAACTGCTTTTCTTTAATTGACATCTAAATTCTTGTCTTAGAAAACAGGCAAAGTTTTGAGTCAAACTTTTCTCTCTTTTTCCTCTGACATTTTATTACTGCTTATTTTGGTTACTTTTCCTCTCCAAAGCTATGAGTTTGCTACAATGTTCAGTTTGCTTTTTATATAATTGCCTGATATACCATCAGGAGACAAAGATCAATGAGCTGAAATTCAGTGCTGTTTGCGTCCATTAGGAATGGTGAGACTATACCAACTATACTGAGCGTCTCTGTCAACTTGAGTGATTTTTGGCTTGGAGCCTGCTTGGTAGCAGAGCTTATGCTGGACTGGATACTCTGAGGACAAGATTTTAGGTACTGCTTGAACTAAGTACTTTTGGGATTCGCTGGCAGGGGAAAGCGTGTTTTGTAAATCAGTTTCTGCAACGTAGGCATTTAACGGTATGTTTGAGTCTGTTTTGCCATACCTATGGGGCAGCACTGAACGCCATGGGCACTGCCAGGTCTTCCAGGGAGTAAGCTGAAGACGGCGAGGTTACATGGACTGTAGAATAATTTAGGTTGGAAGGAACCTGTTCAGGTCTGGTATAACACCCTGCCCTGCAACTTGTGTGGAAGGAACCTGTTCAGGTCTGGTATAACACCCTGCCCTGCAACTTGTGTCCATTGGCCCTCTTTGTGTTACTGTGCTCCTCCAAGAAAAGTCTGCCTCCATCTTCTCTCTACCCTCCTACTATAACAGACAGGAATAAAACATCTCCTTAGGCTTTCTTCTCCTCTCAAGACCAAACAAACCCTCTTCTTTCAACTCCCTTTTGTATGTTATGTGCTCCAGCTCTCTAATTATCTTGGTAACCCTCCAGGGAACTTTATCCTGTACTTCAGTGTTTTGAACTGGGGAAGCAAAACTGGACACATGATTTAAGCAGTGTAGGTATATCATTTTTTATCAGTTGAGAAATAGCTATGCATACTTTTTTGCGCCCAATCTAAGAAGCAGTTCGTTTCGCAAATAATCTGTAGCTCTGTTGAATTTGAAATGGCAAAATGTGTTTTTCCTTATGAATACGTGGATCTGCTTTGATAGCATTTGCCAATGATAAAGGATGGAGAATCACCTATTTTATAGTAATTTTATAATGGTATCTGAGACATTAAGCTTTCCATGGAGCTTTAAGTAGTAAAAATTTGTAATATTCCAGGCACCACTGTGAGCCAGTTGTAAGTAAATTACAGTTAAGTTAGTTTAACGTTACAGTTAATGGCAGCCACTCTGTTTTAAAACTTCTTTTAAATACTGCCTTTTAATTAGTTTTCTCTCAGTTATATTCCTTACATTAAAGATGTGATAACAGAATTATTTATCTGCCGTGTCTATAAAGTAATCCAAATTATGTGTTCTCCGTCCTATAGTTTGGTTTATGGAAATTATTCTGCTGTGCTGGTGTCCTGGGTCTTATTTTTCAGCAGCAATCTTTTCCTAAGGTGGTATTCCGCTGCCTTCAGTTTTCCAAATAGGTGCTTTTCTTTAATGGTGTTTACAGCTTTCATACTCCTTGGAGTTTGTGAATTCTGCAGTTGTAGTCCTTTTAGGAAAAAAAGACATTTTAAGACATTTTTCAGGGCATAATGAGGATATTTAAAAAAAAATAATGTGAGAATGCTATACAATGTATTGATTTTCCTCTTCTGTCATCTCCTTGAGCTCTTGAGTCTCAATCACTAATTGTTAGATCTCATTTTGATCTGAGGTTTCAAGACTTTTTTTTTTTTAAATCTCCTGGAGAGCCTGTAAAATTATGTCCTGTGGTAGAAATTAGTTATCCGCAGTACTTGTTAATTTTCTTTTAAATGGCACAGATGAGAACATACTTTATCAGTCAGATGATTTGCCTGTCGTTCCAGAGTTTTGCAGAAAAAAGACTGATCACATTTGGGAGCTGTTTTTAAAAGATCAGATATTCTTCTATTTTGTTTTTAATCTATTTTTGAGGAAGATATTTCTAGTACTTTGGAGTCGTCGGTTGAAACCTTCATCGATCTTGCTGGGAGCTTAGCCCTTAATTATGATGGGACAACACTTCATCTATGGTGGTTTCATTTGAAGATTACAAAGTTGGGAAAGGAGTGTTTTTAAGTCGCGGAGAGAATCCTGCCTCTCTCTTGAATTTTGTTTCTGTGTGATGTTCCCGTTCTGGGCAGGCATGAGCCGGGCAGTACAGCCCATAGAAGTGTTGCCAGAGGGGTTCCGGTGTAAGTGCACAGATGCTCATAGGCTGTATGTGCATCCTGAAAGGAGCCGTGCTAGCTCCACCTCCACTTCTTCTTCCCAACCTACCTGAGACAGGGGATCGCGGTACAAAATTGTACAAAAAGCCAGTGGATGCAGATTTGGCCAAATTCAAGACAATGCTAATGTTTGCATGGGCTTCGAAACCCTTTGTGGCTTTCTGAAGTCAGGGAATTTGAAAAAAGAAATCCAGTGCTCTTCCTGTTACCGATACATATTATCTTGGTTGATGCATCACATGTGAAATTATTATTAATTTGTTCAAATGGAAAATACTATCATTGTTTTAGATTGAATATTGCCTAAGCTTTTATATTAGCACTTTCATAACCTGTTTTGAAGCCCTCTAAAAACCAAAATTCTGCTTTTCCCGACAGTTTATTTCAGTGCTTCACTGTCCTTAGACTACGAACTATTTCCAAATTTTTTCTCGTTTCAGTCTGAGCTTGTTACCGAGCTCATACAGGAGTGAGTCGAAGGGGAAGCTTGCAGGTTATGTGCCTGGGCGATGCTGGTATGATGTTTGCCCTCGATAATGACACTGTCACTGCATTGTCTAACATCCCTGTACCTCCATGGAACCAGTACCAAGCCAGTGTTCAAAGCCATCCTAGCCCACATTTGTTCTGTTTTATATTGCCCTATTAATTTTTATCCTTTTTGTTTTCTGATTGCTCTTTAATTTGTCATTTTGAGTTCTGATGCTGCAGCACGTAGTTACAGTTGGCTTTTTTACAGCTTCCAGGCTTTTTTCCCCCTTGTGTTTTACTGTGGTTCAGGTACATTTTACCTTTGTGTCTTCATATTTAACACCCCTCAGTGGAATTAAATTTTTATAATCCGAAGATATCACCTGCTCTAATTATTATTGTTAGCCAATTCATGGGTTAATAAACCAAATATGTAATATTAACATTTAATGAATCTCTAGCTTGCAGTTTTGATTTGCAATAATAAAAGTTTTACATATTACGTGCTCTTTTTCCCTCTGAAAACAAAATTTTCCTTAATTCCAATTTACCCTTCCTTGAAGCGTGAAGGAGAAGCAAGTGTGGAAGGCGTTCTTAATCAACTGGTCCTGGAGCATCTACAGTTGGCTCCTCTCCAGTGGGGTGAGTAATGTCAAAATCTATTGATGATCAATTTAGAGGATGTACTGGCCTGTAATTTTTAGCAGCATGAGAATGATAATGTTTTCATTTACTGATAATGTATGATACAGGAGAATTTGCTAGGAATTTTATTTTCCTTTAGATATTTTACTTAGGTGAAGATAAATGTAAAATTGATATCTATTTTATTTTGAGAATCACTGTTCAGTGGTATTAAATATGAAACCTGAGTGCGCACTTTTTCCTGTAATTTGCAATCCTAGTAGTGTTGTATGAGAGGTGGCTGCTACTTAATTTTCCCTTTGCCGGATAGTGTGTGTTTTTAAAGTAATTCCTCTAAAATATTTTCATACGGAACTGTAATATACTTTGTGGTGTATTTCTTATCATGATCTAGACATTTGCATTGCTAACTTGTTAGATACAGAAAAAAGTTGTTACTCTGTGTAGTGAGGAAGAACAATTTCTCTTAATTTTGCATTTAGAATGATGTTCCCATGAAGAAATACTGAATTAATTAATTTTGAAGAGTCATAATAATGTGACTTCTGTCTGAGGTTCTTAACAAGGCTTGTTCAGAGGCTTTGGAACGTGGGATGTTTTATCCCCAACACTTCTCTGTCAGTTATAAGTTTCAGAAAAAGTCCCCAGATCATAAGAAAACCGTTTTCAAAGCTTTTGCTTTTAAAGCAAATTTAAGTCTACCCTCCTTAATTTAATTAATTTTGATGACTTAGAGAGGACCAATTTTAAGCAACAATGATCCATCGCTCTTGTTTGCACTAACTATTAAAACTAAAATGACCCCGAACTCTAGTATTTGTGTACTCTTTTAAATGCTTGTGTTTTTTCCAAGCATGTGCACCATCCTCAACTCATATGTTGAAACTTGTGAGCGCTTTGTTTACAGATGAGAAGATTAATACTGAGAATGGTTTAAAGTTGTTGTAAACATGTCAAACTTTAACCATCTGTCTGAAGTCATGCTTATCTGGCCTCTGTTCTTCAGAGGATTCAAGGATTTGGTGGCACTTGCTTGTATGACTGGCTTTGGCTGTGATTGTTCCTCATCTGTAAAATGAGTGCCTTTGTGTCAGATGTGTGTTGTGAGCTCAAACAAGTCACTGGAGAGTCATCTTAGTTTGGCGGAGTGCCATTGACCTTCAACATGTTTGTAACCTGGGCTCTGTGTTGGGAAATTTTCGCTTGGCACTTTTGCATGGGAGGTAGCCTTAAGGAGGAAAACTTTCTTCTAATATTTTTTTTTCTTCTTTTAATTTTCTTTTCATGCCAAACTTCACTGTTTTCTTAGGAACAGAGACTTTTAGAGTCATAGGATTGAGTCTGGTATTCCTGCCTGAATGGTGATATTCATGGATGCTTTGATGCAGTAGTTGGAAAACATGAACGTAGCACTGATTTACCATCAAATGTGATTGCCTCTCAGGTTGTTAATTTCTCAGGTTGTTGCTTAATTCAGTTAAAGAATCCCAGTTACTTTAGTTTTCAGAATGTATGAACATGAGACAAAACTTTCTAATATTCTCCATCTCATAACTGCAGCATCTTTTGAAGCACAATCTCTTGGCAGATCATGGCCTACATGTTTAGTTTTGCATTAAATAAAATAGGGAAAGGGATATCAAATATGTGGTTTGCCACAACTTCTATATGATATCTCATTTTGGAAAGTTCTGGTGGCAGAAAATACTGGTTTTGCAGAAATCTACTTTATTTTTTTTTGTCTAATATTTTCACAATCTGAAATTAGTGTTGCATATGTTATATTTTTGTATTAACAAAAAAAAATATGTCCATGTAGAAGCTGTAGCTCATTGCGGAGATTACTGAAAAGGACATTTTGATTAAATGCCTGATTTTACTTGAAAACAGAAGCAAAAAATTAAAATTAAAAACAACGGAGAAATTTTAGTTTCTTTTAATTAGCCATAACTTCAAATATTCAGCAGTTAACTCTTTGCTGGTTGGTTTCACAATGTTGTAGCCACGTTGCCTTACCTGCAGTCATCATGAGCAAACCTACTGTGGTCCCTCCAGAAAGCATATCATGGCAATACAGGCTAATTTTGGTTTTATTAATGTGTGGGATGGAGGAGGAATTAAAAGATTGGGTTTTTTAGTTTGGTAGTTGGGAGTAATAAGGAACTGTTGGAATGTCTGGACAATCAAGAGTGTGTGCGCACGCATGCATGTGTTTGTGTGTACACAAGTATTTAGACAATGTGACATATTGTCTTTTGGAGTTTAAATTGTCTTTTGGTGCCTGAATATATTTCCTATTCAACACCTATAAGCATGGTAAAGTGTTATATGTTTCAAATCATCTAAGATGTAAGGCAAGTTCTGTTTTCCCTGTGGTTTTCTTCTTGATATTTTGAAGTAATTGACCTTAACTATCATGTCAGAATCGGGTCTTTTAGTGGTAGTGGTCTGTAGTGAGTACCAATAATGAGATAAACTTATGCAAGCTACCTTAAAAATTCTCTGACTGTTAACATTTCTACAAAAAGAGAACTATAATCTTAATATATATAATTAATAATGCAATAGTCTACAATTTTTTTCCTTGTCCTGCCTCATCCAATATTTTGATGTCATTGATAAGAAGTTATTTTAAAAATACTGTAATATGGTAGTGTCAGATACATTTTTTCTCTTTAACACTGTCGACACAGCCTTACTTTGCTTTGAGTTTGGCTTTTCTATATGTTAAGAATAACTGGCATTTTAATGTGAACCCTGTAATACTAGCCATCATTGTAATATAATCTTTGCATATATTGGCTGAAAATTTTCCCTTAGTGTTATGCAATAAAATTGATTCTGTGATTATTCAAGACTTTTGCTGTATGGATGGTTACATTGAAGGGTTTACTTTATTATAAGTGCTCACACTGAAACATGAATGAATATTTAACATGGTTTTGATTAAAAAAAATGACTGGCTCTTGTTCAAATTTATAAAAGCTGGACTTAAAAATTCCTTTTAAATTTGGCATATTTAATTCATATTAGAGTTAATATTACATTTCTAAAATTATTAAAGCATATTGAAATAATTTTTTATGTAAATTTGACAATCCTGTCTTTTTTTTCATTAAATGCAAGGCAAAGAGTTGAATTAAAAGTTAGTGGCATTGAAGTTTTGGTTTGAGGATAAGAAGTCAGCTCTGAAGGTTGTCAGATAGAGGAAAAAACGTGGCTCTTGGTGAACACTGTTGGTTGTGATTTCATATAATCAAATGACTGGGGAAGGGAAAAGTATTTAAAACATGAGGAATCATAAAGAAGAAAATATGTCAAAGGCTAGAGTAAGACTTCTTAATATGTTGTTAAAATTGATTTTAAGATTTAGGACACCTCTGTAAAATGAAGTTGTCTCTTAGGCAGGTTAGTAAATCACATGTAATTGAAAAACATAATCTTGCTCAACGCCACCAAGTTCAATGTTCTCTAAAATTTATGTCATATTTTCTTTTTACTGCTGGGCAACAAACCAAATGTAGGAATAGCTGTGGTTTTAAGGTGAATATATTAATATCATCAAATCAAGGAAACATAGCCTGCACAGTTTAATGAGGAGAACCAAGACTCTTCAAAGGCGTATGTCGTGCAAGTTCTGGGGTCAGATGTGAAAATGATCAGATGGAGGCATTTGTAGTTGCTGGCTGTGCGATAATTTTTCAAACTTCATTTGATTTATGTTGCTAAGTTTTGCAAGTGAGCAAAATTCTGAGACCGAACACTTACCAGTTTGATGGTACTCTGCTGCATTTCATAGCCAAATTATCATAGCTACAAATGCTATGCAGAAAATGTTGTTATTGAACTTGAAATAGACTGAGTTTGCAATAGACTGGAATAGACTGGAGCCAGGGTATTCCTACATTCAAATGAGAAGTACCTCTTAAGCGAGAGGTTCCCCCCACTTTGCGTGCTGTACACATATTTCACAACAGAAACTTATTTTAAATTCTCCTACATAAAGCAAAATAAAATTAACTTCCTTCACTACCGGCAACCACAAGATAAAGGCATCTTTTCCTGATGGTCCTCCTCTGTGTAAGAGTGAAGATGTATTAGAGAAATTTGATTTAGGAATTTAGAACTGTAGACAAATCTAAATGTGCTAAATGTTTTACTACATTGGGCAAATACCTAGCTTTTCTTTCTCTGTAGAAACTAGCTGAATAACGGAAAAACAATAATTATACATGAACTTTAAAGACTGTATTTGCAGTAATATTCGAAGAACCATACATTGGTAAAACTTCACCACTGGCAAAGTCCAGAAATAGCATTTTGTTGTCATTCATTCTTTTATTTCATTCATTCATTTCCTTCATTCTTCACTTCTTCCTTCATAATAAACGTGAATTTCAAGACAGTTTATAACTTTTAAGTTAATCACGGATACCTTTTCACAACGCAGTACGTTTCATTTGCTAGTGTGGGATCGAAGGGAAAACCAACCATGCTGTTGCCAAATGCTCTCCAGATCGTAATTAAGAAAAGTGACAGTTATTAAACAAAGTCTTAATTGTTTACTTCTAGGTAGAGAATGCTACACATTTTGTTGTGGGTTCACAATAAATTGTGTGTCTACTTGCATCGATATCGTACTCAAAGCCCCAGAATTGAAGGGTGGTTTTAAATTGTTCCTCACAGGTAGTTGGCATCAATAGAAGAGGTAGATTTAAAAGTATTTTGCAGTGTTTTATGTGCATGTGGTTCCTGACAGCTTGTTTGGAAGTTCTGTCTGGTTAAGTTTCACAAAACATCTTATGGAAGTACTACTTTTAAAATAAATTATCTCAATAATTTGTTGTATGTTTTAGAGAACACCAAATCAGAATCAATTTTCGCAGCTTATGTATTTCATGGATCTTAAAATTAATTACTGAAACTACTCACCCATTTTATTTTGCATTTTCCAGTCTGACCTTAGACTATAATTAAATCTTTCTTTCCACAATTCA